ATTTGTGTGGAGCCACAACAGACACCAAATAGCCAAAGCGAACATTATATAAAAAAAGAACTAACACTGGAGCCACCACTCTTCCTGATTTCAAATTATACAATGAAGTCAAGTTTAAAAACAAAATGAAAAAGAAAGGATAGTATTGCCACAAAAATAGACACATAGACTAATGAAATACAATAGAGAGTCCCAAGTTAAATCTCTGCCTACCTGGGCAACTAATAGTCAACAAAGGAGCCAAAAACACCCAGTAGGAAAGGATACTCTCATCAACAGATTGTGCTGGGGAAACTGGTGGGACACCTACAGAACAATAAAGTTGAGTTCCTTTCTCACCCCACTTAGAAATATTAACTCTGAATGCTTCAAAGACTTAAACACAAGACCTGATGCCATGAAACTCCTAGAATAGAACATAGGAAAAAATTTTTCAACATTGCTTTTGGCAATGATTTTTAAACATGAATCCAAACAACAAAAGTAAATATCAATAATTGGGTGCACATCAAACTTAAAAGCTTCTGCACAGCAAAAGAAACACTATAGAATGAAAGAAAAATCTTGTAAACCACATATAAGATAAGGGATTAGTACTCAGAGACATTAAGTAACTCATACAACTTAATAACAAAAACCAAGCAACATGGTTTTTAAATGGGTAGGATATTAAATAGATATTTTCCCAAGTAGGAAGCAGAATGATCAATAAGCACATTAAAATGCTTCTCAACATCACAAATCATCAGGGGAATGCAAAGCAAAATCCCAGTGAGACCCCACCTCGTGTGTTAGCATGCTATCATGAAGAAGGTAAGAGACAACAGATGCTGGTGAGAATGTGGTAAAAAAGGAACCCTATGCACTGTTGATTGGAATCTAAAGTGGCCCAACCACTATGGAGAACAATATGGAGTTTCCACAAAAAATTAAAATTAGATCTGCTTTAGGATTCAGCAGATATACTTCTAGAGGTATACCGAAAGGAAGTGAAAATAGGATTTTGAAGCGATATATACACTGCCATTATTGCAGCATTATTAATAACAGCCAAGATGTGAGACAATCTAAATGCCCGTCTGTGGGTGAATGAACAAAAGAAAGGTATTATATATATTGCATATATGTATATATATAAATATGTATATATGTGTGTGTGCTTATATATATACATACACAATGGAATTTTAAAATTATTTTTTACATCATTGTTCATTTTTAAACTATTTGCTTCCCCCCTCCCCGTCTTCCTGGGATCCATATTAAAATTTTAATACACTGTAACTATTGCTATCATTAGGTTGACCAGTATATTTCTGCTGTACCTCCAGCTTTATGAGAGTATCCCTTAAAAATGTCTTAAGATCATTTCCCTTATTTATCCAGGCTATCTTCTGATCTTAATTTGATTTCTCCGTTGGAAGCGATCATGTTGATTAGCTGAGATGAATAAATACCCTTGGTGATTCTATTTCTTATGGTAAATTATTTGCATATTCAATTCAGGTTAACACTTATTTTGGGCTTACTATTTGTGACAGGAACTATGAACTGAATAAGCCATAGTCCCTACACTGAAGGAGCTCACAGATACATTTGTTTGCTGGTATTAGGCATGTTTCTTTACCTCTTAAGATACTGGTATCCTAGGAACAACCTATGATGAAGAGAAGGTATTTGGAATTTCTGACTATCAAATTCTTATGAAAATAATATTACATTTCTGAAAGGTTGAAGGGAACAGAAACTGCTTCTGATCTCCATATTAATGTAGAAATAAGACTTTGCTTTGAATATTAAAGATTCCTGGTGGTGGTTAATGACTTGTCATCTCAAAAAATGTAGGTGGGTAAAGTCATTTAATGACTCATGTTTTCTGAGACGTAGGATCAACCAGAATAATTTTAGCATTTAGGTGGAAAAAGACCTTAGAACCCGAAATGCATGAATAGTCAACAGCTTTTGAGGGGTCTCTCCACTGTACAGTGTTTGGGTCTGTCTGAGCTTACTCCAGTGATGTGGGGCTGATGCAGTGAAATCCCTGGAGAATGTACAAAAAACATAGTGCTAATGATGGAAGATGAAATAGATGAGCTTTGCAGGTAGAAGTAATTACATGATATATTGCCCTTTTCATACTCCCTTTGACAGAATAGTTTGTTTGATTTACTTCTGAAAATCTTGCATTTCTGTGCATTTTGATCACAGATTGCTAAGTTGATGTCTTCAGACAAAATTTATCATGCCTCCCAGATCCTCTTAAAATTTCAGCAAAGTTTAGGCTTTATTTAATACTTAAAATTGCTCCTATATTCTATACCTTTTACACTTTCTACTTTAGTTACAGTTTTGAGTCCCTCCTCTCCCCCGACTATGGGACATTCTCACAGGTGTGAGATGATATTTCATTGTGGTCTTGATTTGCATTTCCCTAATGATAAGTAATGGTGAACATTATTTAATGTGCCTATTTTCAGTTTGTATGTCTTCTTGGAGAAGTGTGTTTATTTCTTCTGCCCATTTTTTGATTGGGTTATTTGTTTTGTTGTTGTGGAGTTTTATGAGTTCTTTGTATGTCTTTGATATGCAGTCCTTTTTCAGATGTATGCTGTGCAAATATTTTCTCCCATTCATTAGGGTGTCTTTATTTTAGTTATGGTTTCTTTCATTGTGCAGAAGCTTTTAATTTTGATCTAGTGCCAGTTGTTTATGTTTTCTTTTGTTTTCCTTGCTGATGGGACAACTCCCTAAAAATATCACTAAAGTTTATGTTGTAAAATGTTTTGCCTATGTTTCTTCTATGTATTTTATGGCTTCAGGTTTTACATCCAAGTCTTTCATCCATTTTAAATTGATTTTTGTGTATGGTGTGAGATCATTGTCTAGTTTCATTCTTTTGCATGCAGCTGTCCAGTTTTCCTAACACCATTTATTGGAGGGGCTGGCCTGATTTCAGTGTATGTTTTTGGCTCTTGTGTCACAGATTGACTATCCATATAGGTGTGGGTTTATTTCTGGCCTCTAAATTCTATTCCATTGGTCTGTGTGTTTGCCTTTGTTCTAGTACCAGGATGTTTTAATTATTATGGCTTTACAACATAATTTGAGGTCAGGACATGTTTTACCTCCATTCTCTTTCCTTTTTGTCTGGATTGCTTTTGTTATTGGGGACTTTTGTGATTCCATATGAATTTTGGTAGTGTTTGCTTCAGTTCTTTGAAAAATGCCAATGATATATTTATTGGGATATTGTTGAATCTATATATTGCTTTGGGTAGAATGGCCATTTTGACAATGTTGATTCTTCCAGTCCTTGAGCAAGAGAATATTTTTTCTGTTTCTTTGCTCTTCTACTTCTTTCATCTTATAGTTTTCTTTGCACAGATTTTTTTTTATACCTCCTTTGTTGGATTTGCTCTTAGGTATTTAATTTTTGTGTGTGTGTAATTGTAAATGGGATCACTTTCTTAATTTTTTCTGTTTCTATCTCATTGTTTGGGTATAGGAAGTTAACTGATTTTTCATGTTGATTTTATATCCTGCCACTTTGCTAGAGTATAAATTGCTTTGATTAGTTGTTCCATGGAATCTTGTGGGTTCTCTATGTATAACCTTCAAATAATGATGGCTTTACTTATTATTTACCAACTTGGATTCCTTTTATACATTTCTCTTGTCTAATTCTCTAGCTAGAACTTCCAATACAATGTTGAATAATAGTGGTGAGAGTGGACATCCTTGTCTTATACCAGATATTAGTGAAATAAGGTTTAGTTTTTTATTGTTGTAAATATTTTTTTAAAGATTTATTTCTTTTATGCATACAAGAACTGGGGTACAGGCCAGAGATGTGGGGGGGTAAAAGGATTCACCAGAGACAGAGTGGGGAACAGAACAGGAGGAATGTCTGAAATACACTGCTGAGGGGAGCAGCGGGGAGGCAGGAGAGGTCTGCTGTGCCATGTGGGTTTCTCCCTGGCCGGGGATCGAACTCATGCCTCAGTGGCTGCAGACAGCATCATAGGTTATGTCTTAACCCCTGTGCCACCAGGGAGGCCCCCTGTAAATATTTGAACTTACAAACTCTGAAGTCCAAACCCTGATGAACAGAATTTCATGTTGTAGTCAATAAAACTTGTAGTGACGCTGATTCATCTGAAATATTTGATGATGAGCATGATTACTATTGTGCTTCATGAAATTTAAGGATAAATGGTATTTAACTTTGGCATTAAAGCATTTATCCATGAGCATTAATCTCATAATAAACTACTCTTGTATTATCTGTGAGCCTGCTATAGAGGATATGATTTAATACATTCTTGGTTATCTTTTTTTTTTAATTTTTTTTTAAAGATTGATTTATCTATTTATACAAGCACTGGGTACAGTCAGAAGTGCAGAAGGTTGAGAGAATTCACCAGAGCCAGAGGGGAGAGCAGAGCAGGCAGAGTGACGAAATACACTGCTGAGGGGAGCAGCAGGCGGCAGGAGAGGTCTGCGCGCCATGTGGGACCCTCACCCGGTGGCTGGGGATCGAACCGGCGCTGCAGAGGCTGCAGGCAGCCTCGCAACCCAGTGCTCAACTGCTGCGCAACCAGGGAGGCCCTTGGTTATCTTCTGTATGTGTACTCATGGAAGAAATTTCTCACCATTCCTGTTACCTGGAATAGTATGCTACTATTATATTATTGTTTTGTTTACCTTTTAAGGATCCTGTATGTTATAACTGGGTATGTTTCTCTTTGAATTGCCCACTAGGTAGTTCAGAAACAAATTCATGGCTGACCATAGTAAGTGTAGGGGATATTATGGCATATTATCTGTTCTCACCCATACTTAATCTTACTTTTACTTTGCCATTATGTTTTATTTGTTAATTTTTGTTATATTTTTATTTTTAGTAAGGCACTAAACTTTGATTAAGTGGTTTGAATAAATAAGGTAACTATTGCATAGAGCTAATTATAGGTGGTAGGCATTTATGTTGTGAATTTCAGCTTTCCAGGTTTGGGTAAATTGGATGAAGCAGGAAGTTGCTCTGAACTTTATAAGATGATCCCAGGACTCATTATGTGGAGAAAGAAGGAGGTCAGTCTTTAACATTTCTCTTCTTGGAGCCTCCCCCACAACTCAGATATTCTGGGAACTGTAACTTCAAACACCTTCTTTTGCTTCTCTATTCTTCATTTTCAGTGCTTGCCTTGGCAGCATAGGTCAGCGTAAGAGAAACTCTCTTGCCTCCAAGTATCTTCCCTTGTTTCCTAAAATGCTACCAGCCTATGGTACTGGATTTTCTTACTATGTTCCACAAGTAGGTATGGGTATGTAAAGTATTATAAAACTCAAAGGGACTTAAGTAATCACAACCAGCTCTCATTTTATCAATGAGGAAATTGACATTCCCTGCTCCCTGAGGTAAAGTGATTTGCCCAGGTCTTATGGTTTATAAATATTAAACAGCAGAACTAGAACTCCCGACTTCAAACCTAGTGTATGTTAGAAAATATATTTCTAAAAGAACTAGAAGGAAGAGTACAGTTTCTTACATATTTTTAGTAATGCTTAGTATGTATAAAATACTCTATGAAGGAATATCACCTTGGAGCTGGCAGGGAACCACTCAGTTCTCATGGATTCAGCATTCATCTAGTTATTAAGGTCATGAGCATGGGAACAGAGATGGAGTGGAGCATGAAGAGAGAGATGAGAAAAGAATGCATGGGAGCACGTGGCCATACAAGGTAGAGGAGAGAGAAGGAAAGGATAAGATTAATAGGATAGGCAGAAGCAGATGGTAAAGGTAGAGACAAAAACTGAAGTGAAAAAGGAGAATAGGGCCTTCCTGGTGGCTCAAGTTAAGATGCAGCCTATGAAGCTATCTGTAGCCACTGCAGCACGAGTTCGATCCCCGGCCAGAGCGCTAGCCACATGATGCAACAGACCTCTCCTCTCTGGTCTGCTGCTCCCCTCAACAGTGTATTTCAGTCACTCTGCCTGTTCTTTTCCCTCCTTAGTCTCTGGTGAATCCGCTCACCCCCTGCACCTCTGACCTGTACCCCAGTTCTTGTGTGCATAAATAAATAAATCTTTTTTTTTTTAAATGCTTAAGTTTTTTTTTTTTTTTTTTAGATTTATTTATTTATTTATACAAGCACTGGGTACAGTCAGAAGCGTGGGAGGGTGAGAGAATTCACCAGAGCCAGAGTGGGGAGCAGAACAGACAGACTGACGAAATACATTGCTGAGGGGAGCAGTGGATGGCAGGAGAGGTCTGCGTGCCATGTGGAACTCTCGCCAGGGACCGGGGATCAAACCAACGCTGCAGAGGCTGCGGGCAGCTTCGCAACCCAGTGCTCAACCACTGCGCCACCAGGGGAGAGGCCCAATAAATAAATCTTTAAAAAAAAAAAAAAGGAAAAAGATTTATTTATAAATCTTTTTAAAAAAAAGAAAAAGGGGTCTCCCCGGTGGCACAGCGGGTTGAGCACAGTGCTGTGAAGTTGCCCCGGTTCAATTCCCAGCCAGCCAGGGAGAAACCCACTTGGTACTGCAGATCTCTCCTGTCGCACCCACTCTCCCCTCAGCATTGCTTTCGGTTCATCTGCCTGTTCTGCTCCCCGCTCTGTCTCTGGTGGGTTCTCTCACCCTCTCGCGCCTCTGGACTGTACCCCAGCTATTGTATAAATAAAAAATAAATCTAAAAAAAAAACGGAAAAGGAGAACAGATGTGCGCAAAATAAAAATAGATGACGAATGTGACTATAAGGATGAAAAGTAAGAAAAAAGGTAGGAAAGAATCAGACATGAAGGAATTGAGTGCTGCCACATGGCAGTTGATTGCTCAGTCAGATATTGTAAGTAGTAGGTTGAACAACATATTAAATGATTATTTTTAAAAATTAGATATTCATTTCACTTCCTAAGTTTTTGAGAGGCATCAATAGACTGCCCTAAAATGAAAATTAATATATTTTAAAAAGCAAAACCAACAAGTAGAACCCAAAACTGGTTAAAATTTGGTAGGAGGAAATTCATTAATATATTCATAGATTTTTGGTCTACATGGAAGTAGTTAAACTGGGGTAAGGAAAACAACTGTCACCCTAGGTATGGGCTATCTTCTTGTAAAGATGCAAATTAAGCATGGATTCTCAAATGTTACTTAGGATGGGAAAGTTACAATTAGCTGCTATAATAATTGTGCTCTTTGGTTCTTGCTTTGTTTCACAGTGGCTTTAATTAAAGGCCTACTGATGTCGGAAAGTCACATTAATTATTCATCTGCAAACATTTACATAGCCTTCCCTTTTCCCTTTCAATAAATTATCAACTTCGCATCTCCATAATTTAATCAAAATGACTAAAAATATACCATCTCCAGCTTCTGCCCCTCCTCTGTGGGCTTTGTCTCCTCAATGTTATTTGTTACTGGAGAAGACTTCCCACTGTTATTAAGAAAGAAAAGAAGAAAATCTTTCTGCTAAAATTGTGTAGATAGGGTTTACTTTTTTCCACACTGTCATATTGATTGGTATAAAGCTGTGGTTTGCAAATGTCCATAATGTTTTTGGAGCAAGATGAGAGGTACCATAGAACTGTGCTTTTATTAAAAGCTAACATGTTGTGATATATTAATAGAAGCATAATATTCAAGAATAATGCAACAATTTGCCCCATAATCCTAAGAGTGTGAGGAATCAAAACTTTAACCACTAAGCATATAAAAATCATAAAAGGAGAAACTTCTAGAAGTTAAGTTGAAAGATAAGAATACATACGGTTAGAGAGCCAAATGGAAAATTATAAAGGTCAAGCTAAGAAAAATTACTCAAGAAGGCAGATGTTCACATTGATAAGTACTTACTTAATAGGTCTGTAATTTGGCCTAATTTTTATTTATTTTTGTTATTTTATGCATAAAAAAACTGAGATATAGGCCAGAGGTGTGGGGGGTGAGAAGACTCACCAGAGACAGAGTGGGGAGCAGAATAGGCAGATCCATTGAAATACACTGCTGAGGGGAGCAGCGGACGAGACAGGAGAGGTCTGCTGCGCCACATGTGGGTTAGCTCCCTGGCCAGGGATCGAACTTGTGCCACAGTGGCTGGTGATAGCTTGATAGCACTGAGACTTTAACCTCTATGCCACAGGTGAGGAATTTGGCTTAACTTTTAATGCTACATTGGCAAAAAGTTAAAGTGCTAATGAGACTAAGGACTCATAAAGGATGGTAATGGAAAAAACATGACTTGGAGTCAACTGGACTTGAGTTTAAGTATCTACTCTGCTTTTTACTGTAGTACTCTGATTTTTGAATGCTCTGAACTTTTTGAATTTTTACTTATTTTGAGAGTTAATGTCTTAGAATAGTATCATTTGTTTACAAGGAGCAGAAACTTCTTTAAACCATATTAAGTATAGTAGATTTACTGTAAGGAAGCAAAAGAACCTCATGGAACACAGGTCACTAAATGTACCTTGGCTTTATAGAAATTATAAAGTTTCTAGGCAGCTTTTCCTTTCTCTTGGTATCCTTCTAGATTCTCTTATTTCTGACTCTAGTGCAAGATTTGCATTTCCTGAAAAGATGCTCAACATCTTCAGGACTTGGAATTGCAAGTCAAAACCACAATGAAATATTACTTCATATCTACCCAGACAGCTATAATCAGGGAGATACTCAGTATTGACTAGGACATAGAGAGATTGGACTCTTCAGGCACTGCTAGTGGAATGTAAAAGGTCTAACACTTTAGAAACACCTTGGTAGTTCCTCAAAAGGGTAAACATAAGTTATTGTATGACTTAGCAATTCTGTCCTAGGAACACACCAAAGAGAAATGAAATAAGTCTACACAAAAAACATGTAGATAAATATTCCTATCAGGATTATTCAAAATTTTACAAAGTGGGAACAACAATCTTACAAGTGGAAACATGTCCATCAACTGACGAATGAATAAATAAAATATATATATTCATATATATTCATATAGTGGAGTACTCTTCAGCATATAATGATACATATTATAATGTGGATGACTCTTGAAAACATTATTTTAAGTGAAAGGAAACAGTCACAAATTCTATGATTCTATATATATGAACTGTTTAGAGTAGGAAAATCTATCCAACAGTAGATTAGATTAGTGGTTGTTTACACATGGGGAGGGATTCTAGTGGGGATGGAGTGCATAATAACGACTAATAAATATGGGGGTTCTTTTGGGTGATGAAAATGTTCTAAAATTTATTGTAGTTATGATTGCAGAAAACTGAGTAGACCAAAAACCATTGAATGATACATTTTAGATGGGTTATATGATAGGTGAATTATGTCTCAATAAAGTTATTTTTTAAAAAAGATTGAGTTATGATGGTTTTGGTTTGCTTATGGTGGAGAAGATTTAATGTAATACCTAAATATCCCAAACTCATACATAGTTTCTCAAAAATGGAGTGTGAGAGGAACTGATGGTTACTCTAGTACAAAAATATTATATATACCTCAAAATTGGGGATTGGGGTTTAATGAGCTAATATGTAAAGTATCAAGAAAAGTACCTTTTGATTTAACTTTTACTTCTTGTCGAACTGAATCAGCCATTATTAGAGGTATCACTTATTGCAATTCTTTGTGGTGGATTGCCTGAGAGGCCAGGAAATTGGGGTATTTTGCACAGCCTGGCATTGGGGTCAATTCTGATCAGCCTAGACCACAGAGTCTTAAGGATCTTCCAAAATCTAGGGCCTCCCTGGTGGTGCAGCAGGTTGAGCGCCACGCTGTGAAGCTGTCCATAGCTTCTGCAATGCGGGTTCAATTCCCGGCCGGCCAGGGAAATTCCCACATGGCGAGGCAGACCTCTGCTGCCTCGCCCGCTGCTCCCCTCAGCAGTGCTTTCGGTCAATCTGCCTGTTCTGCTCCCCACTCTGTCTCCGGTGAATCCTCTCACCTCGCACCTCTGGCCTGTTCCCCAGCTATTGTATAAATGAAAAATAAATCTTTTTTTCTAAAAAAAGGAATCCTCCAGAATCTTTGAGGTTAGTGAGGTTCATCCTTTACCACGATTGCTGGGGCTGGGATAGTGGACTATGGACTCTGAAAGGACATTGGCAATGAACTTGAACTTGTTGAGTGACTGTCAGTGGTTGTGAACCCCTCAAGTATTCCCAGAATTCTGGTGCAGCTCTGAGGCCTGTACTGAAGCCTGGGTTTTCTTGAGAACCAGAACCATCTCAGTTCAGATTCATACCAGAGGGTTTCCTCAGGGAACACCAGTGTCACCTAAAATAGAGAAGTGTTGGGCCTCCCTGGCACTCTAAAATAGAGAAGAGTTGGGCCTCCCTGGCGGTGCAAGGGGTTAAGACACAACCCATAAGGCTATCTGCAGCCACTGCAGTGTAAGTTCAATCCCCAGCTGGCCAGGGAGCTGCCCACATGGCACAGCAGACCTCTTCTGACTCACCTGCTGCTCCCCTCAGCAGTGTATTTCAGTCAATCTGCCTGTTCTGTTTCCCACTCTGTCTCTGGTGAATCCTCTCACCCTCCGCACCTCTGGCCTGTACCCCAGTTCTTTTATGCATTAATAAATCTTTAAAAAAATAAAATAAAATAGAGAAGGGTCTAGAGCTGGTCTTTACTCTTCAATGTAGGCAAGTCAAATCCATGACAACTAACAAGTGAGCCTGTAGCAAATGATTTGCAAACTCTGCGTGCTTAATTTTAAACTTTTGTTAGGGGGCGAACTATTCAGTTTATGTAGTTGAATTTGATATTCTGGATTTCTAATAAAACTTTTGCCATGCAATTATGATTTTTCATATAAGGGTTGACTTGAGGCCTCCATTTTAACAGGTGTCTCATTAGACTGAGGCCCGTGCTGACCATGAGCATCAGTTAGTATTCCTATACATGTTGTTTTGAGAGTAGCCATCTACAGGTAGACACTCCCACATGATTACCTCCAAGACTTCTGATTATGTAAAATAAGCCTTTCTCAGCAGTAAGAACATTTATTTTCTATCAGTTTCTTTGTATACCTGAATAGTGTATACTAGACTAAAGTAGATCAGATCTTTCTATGGTCATGCAGGTTTGCTTGGTCTCCACTGGTGTTATAGAACAGAATACAGGCGCACGAATTGCTTTGAGAGGGCCAAACATAGAGGTACCTCTGAATCCTCATAATTTCTCAGAATATACGAAGTTATTCAGTAGCTTTGAGAATCAGGCTCCAAATGATATGAACCACTTGCAGCAGATAAATGTAGGGTAGTACTACTGATGCTTCTGCATCTGTTGTATACATGGTTTATTTTTAATAGGCTGCTTTCACATCACTTTATGTTTAATAGTAATATGGGTGAGTGAAAAGAGGATTGAATTTATAGGCAGACAGATTTGTATCATTTCCCCAATATCAGTAAAATATGAATTGTGTTCCTTGTAATTGTCTCTTGACCTTGGTAAGATGACCATAATTTTTCTTATTAAGTTGTGGTAAGGAGTAAATTGTGTATAAAATCATATAACACAGTACCTGGCACAAAGAATAAGATTCTCATTGACTAGTCATTTATAGTTGAATTCACCAATCTGAGGAACTTTACTTATTCCTTGAGACCCTCTCCACATTCTTGGTGATGTAATTGTAATTGGGTCTTTGCATTTTCTTAATCTCTTTAGACCTCTGTGGTAACAATTTTCTCATGTTTTAAATGCATTGCTAGGAGACTATTTGAGTATTGGTGATTTTCCTTGCAATGCAGGCCTAACCTCTTTCATGCAGTGCTGTGATTTGCAGAGAACAGTCACTACAGGGAGTTATCATTTTCTCCCATGGCGTTGAATTGCTGGCTAAGCTTTCTGGTGATAAAGCACTGAATGAAAAGCCAAGCATTTTTTTTTTTAAAGATTTATTTATTTATAAGAACTGGGGTACAGGCCAGAGGCGCGGGAGGGTGAGAGAATTCACCAGAGACAGAACAGGGAGCAGAACAGGCGGACTGAGCAAAACACTGCTGAGGGCAGCAGCAGGCAAAACAGGAGAGGTCTGCTGCACCATGAGGGTTTCTCCCCTGCCAGCCAGGAATTGAACCAGCACTGCTGAGGGGGCCAACAGCTTCATAGCGTTGCGCTCAACCCGCTGCACCACCAGGGAGGCTGGAAAACCAAGCATTTTCATCCTGATTTGGCATTCATAGTGTCAATTGGTTCCACTTCCATCATATGCTCATTAGTTTTATAAAAATTTCACTTGTCTTCTTAAACCACACCAAATTTCTCATCTCTCATTCCAAGAATTTCACCTTGTCTCCTTTTTCTAACTGAGAAAACCAAGATCAGGTTGGAGTTGCCTTTTCAGATACCTGCATATTGTACCCTTTTACTTCTTGCTTCCTGTCTCTATTGTAAAGGTATTCTTCCTTTACTTTCCTTCATAATCAAAAGCTATGAGAGAGAAGCTAATGTTTCTGTACTTTCTTGTGTCCCCTTTATTCCTTAGCCCATTTTTTTCGACTTGTCTACTATCTAGGAATTTCTTACTGAAGTAACTAGGACTCAATGGGATATTTTCTATTCCTGATCAATGTCCCCAATTTTTTCTTGTCTTTATTCTGCAAGGTCTCCCATACCTCTCTAACTCCCCTTTCCAAAAACAAAACAAGCCTTAAAACAAAAAATAAAAACACAAGAGCTGAATACAACCCAGTCCTGCTCCTCAAAATGTGCATATACTCTAAAGATCTATGTTTGTTTGCAACTTACACTTCAGATCTGGTTCTTAGAAGAACAGGTAAGCTACCCTGGTACAATTTTAAAGCATCTTAAAGTGGTTATTTTTTTTTAAATTTTACATAGATTTTATTCATTTTTAAACATCTCTGTTTATTTTTTTCACAATAATAGGATTTTTTTCACAATATAGATTTCTCCCTTCAGTAAACCTTGAAAGCATTTAAATTTTGAGTCTACCTAAAATATCCATCAGTTGTTACTTGGTATGCTTACATTATCAGTTTGATTCCCATGACTTCAAAAATATTCCAAATATGTATTTGTTTTATAACTAGAACAATATTGTAATATATTTTTTCAGGTATAGATATAAATACCGGCACTGAACACTATACATGGGACCCCAGTAAAGGAGGTAAGCCCTTTCTGTTGCAGAATTGTTTATTTTTGCTTTGAGTTTTCAAAAGAATAAGAAATACACGTCTGAAATTCTTGCTGAGAACCTGGGGTTAAAAGTTATACTACCTGCTTGTTTCATTTGAAAGAACTGTGTGTGTGGGGTAAAGCAAGAGTTCTGAAGTCAAAAACACCTTAATTCCAATTGAACTACTTATGTATTTTTTTAAAGATTTATTTATTTATTTATTTATTTATTTATTTATTTATTTATTTATTTATTTATTTATTTATTTATATAAGCACTGGGTACAGTCAGAAGAGCTGGAGGGTGAGAGAATTCACCAGAGCCAGAGCAGGGAGCCGAACAGGCAGATCAACGAAAAGTACTGCTGAGGGGAGCAGTGGGCGCAGCTGGAGAGGTCTGCGCACCATGTGGGACCCTCGCTGGTGGCTGGGGATCGAACCAGTGCTGCAGAGGCTGTGGGCAGCTTCACAGCCCAGCACTCAACCGCTGCACCACCAGGGGAGGCCCTACTTATGTATTTTTGATCAAGGTGCTTTTTTAGACCTCAGTTTTCTTCCTTGTAAATTGAAGACACTTTTCCACTATTCATGTCAGGATTAAATGAAATAAAGCAAAGTGCCAAACACTTAGCAGGGGCTCAACAATTGTTATTCTTCCTACCCAATGCTTTGCAGAGTTACCTCATACTTCAGTGAATTGTTGCTATATGGAATTTCAGAGATGGGAAGAAATAGATCTCAATTTTCATTGCCATGACAACAGAATCAGAGAAGTGAAAAATTTCCTCCTAAAACAGTGAGCAACTGTTAACAAAGTAGCACCTTTTTAATTGGTGGCAAGTATGTGATTTCTTTTCTTCTTTTTTCCTTTTACTTCAACTATAGCTTCCAATTTGTTTACTCTGAAAATGCCAAAAGGAGAAGTTGGTGATTGATTTTCTTCTTACTGTGAAGATGTTAACAATGATATCTGCTACTTTTATATCACCTACTTTTTAACCTCTGCCTGCAGAAGAATATCATGGAAGGTAACGGCAGTTTTATTATTACCTGAAATTAGGCCTTCTCATAATCAATAGCTGCATTTGTCAAGTGTGAAGTTATATTTTTATTCTCAAAAAGCTACAGTAGTCTACTCTTGCCCTCAAATTGGATCATTTCCAAAAGAAAATTTTCTTTTTATTTTGATATGCCTAAAGATGACTCAATTAATTTCCATGGTAACATATAACTCTTTCATGGTTTTTGTGGTCATAACCAACCCAACTTATGAAAACTTAAGCATCTTCTCTATTGTCAAAGATAGAGAAAATAGTTACTAGTAAAATGAATCTGTGTATATTCTATTTTTTTTAAGATTTGTTTATTTATGCATTCAAGACCTGGGGTGTAGGCCAGAGGTGCCGGGGGTGGGGGGGGGGGGGGTGGGGGTGGGGTGGTAGGGGGATGATGGTGAAAGGATTTACCAGAGACAGAGTGGGGAACAGAACAGGCTGATTGACTGAAATACACTGCTGAGGGAAGCAACAGGCCAGAAGGAGAGGTCTGCTGCACTATGTGGGTTAGCTCCCTGCCCAGGAATTGAACTCATGCTGCAATGACTGCCAATATCTTCATAATGCTGAGACTTAACCCCTTGCACCACCAGGGAGGTCCTGTGTATATTCTAATTAAGAAAGACACATAGTTATGATCTCTTCTTTAAGATACATAAACTGTTGTCCTTTTATCTTGTGACATAATACAAAGCTATTTTAAAATAATATGGTCTACCTAAAACATTTGTTTAAATGTTGCCTTGAAAGCCTGATTCCTTAAAAGCAGTTTGGCAGAGATCTGCGACCAAGGTCAGGCTTCAGAGATCAGTAAAAAAGTCATTTCCTGAAAAATTCTTATTTGAAAGAACAACTGAGTGATATAAAAACATATTGCTAGTAAAATTATTTCCTTCTCATTGATAAAGGATCACCGCAGATGGGGAAGCAGTGCTTCTTGCATGCAGATATGAAATAGAACTCTCTTTGGGCTTTTGATAAGGTATTTGGAACAGAAAATAATTTTCTCTTGTGTAATTACAGAGAGGATTTTATTAGTTAGATAAGACAGAAGCTAAAAGAAGTGCCAACTTTCCACCTATTATCCATTTTCTCCTTTCTCTTTGTCAAGGGAAGCCCACTTTTCTTGGGGGTATTATGTATTCAAGTGTCAGTGTGCAGGGGGAAATCTTGCATCCCTCTGGATTCTTCTTAGGTCGAATAAGTAATCAAAGCACTACTGAGGTAACCAAGTTAAAATCAACTTAATAATGTGCATGGGGAGCTACAAAAATGTAGATCCTGTCATTGGTTAGGGAGAAAAAGGCAAAAATCCCATATTGAGGGCCGGAAACATCAAGGAGAGAGGGGAGAGACTCCACATGGGAAGGAGAGGATTTACTTCTTACTTTCAGAGTAAAGATGAGATTCTCAGATAAATAGAACATGTTTACAGATAAACCTACACCTGGATGATACCGTCTCTCCCCTCCCCCCAAAGGATGATATTCTAGGTCTAGGAGAGCAGTGATTACTTCTTGATTAGGACAAGGGCAAAAGCTTAGGGAGTGACAATCTCTTATTCAATTAGTGAAGGGCAAAGGAATCAGGCAAGAACAAAAGCTTCTCATCCTCCAGAGATTTTATTGCTCTTAGCTCAAAATAATGCTATGCCAGAGTGGGGCATGTTGCAGAGACCAGTTCTGAGAATTTTTGGGTGGTTTGATCAGTCACCTTCTCAGGTTAGTGCATATTACATTTCCTTTATAGACAGAAAATGGAAGTTTAAGGTTAGATTCTGGGAATATTTCTTTTTTTATAAATTTTTTAAAAATATTTTTATTATTTTATTTATACAAGAACTGGGGTACAGGCTAGAGGCACAGAGAGGTGAGAGAATTCACCAGAGACAGAGTGGGGAGCAGAACAGGCAGGCGGACCAAAAGTACTGCTGAGGGGAACAGTGTGTGAGACAGGAGAGTCTGCCATGCCATATGGGTATCTCCCTGGCGGCTGAGAATCAAACCCGTGCTTCAGAGGCTGCAGACGGCTTCACAACGCTGAGCTCAACCCGCTGTGCCACCAGGGAGGCCCTGGGAATATCTCTTAACAGTAAGTGATATGTGACTGGCATGCCTTTTTTTTTTTTTTTTTTTTTTCATAAACTATGAAAGGCATAGTGGATGGGGATCCATTTATTTATAGATATGAGGAAAACTGAGGATTACAGTTACCTTAACACGACCTCATTCTTGTAATAGTTTCTTTGATGAGTGTTACTTAGGATTGCCGTCTTATTGGAATCTCCAGAGGATCTTTAAAAATCTAAATGTTGGGACTTGTACTTAAAGGTAGGATATAGGACAGGCTAGTGTTCCTGTTGGAAAAGCCAGACAAATTACAAATATATTTCTAAAAGTATCAGAGAGCTATAAAAGCATTTTATGAAAAAATTCCAGAGAGAAAAGAAATATTTTCAGGCAGCTTATGAACAATAGCCAGTTCTCTCCCTGGGGTCATTCACCAAACTCTGAGTATGGACTAGGGATCTGAACTGGCTTAGGCAAAGGGACTCCACTAAGAGAAAGAGAAATGTATAAAGTGTTTAGTATTCATGCAGACCTGGAGTGAAAAAGGAGATTTGAAGCACTTCAAATGCATTTCTTGTTTCCCCCACAGGACTTAGCCAAACTTTAGGTAAAAGTTTAGCAATGTAGCTACACAGGTAACTGAGGCGCTAAGTTGAAAGCTTTTTAAACGGCCGAGTGAAATTTTCTGCAGTCCTCAAGGTACTTAAGGGCACCTGCCTCAAATAACTGATCTCTCCTTCAAGACCTTGACTAGATTTTAAATGTATGGAGTTAGGGACTGAAGAGCTGGACTGAACAGTTTGGAAGGGTAGAACTGGCTCTTCCACAGTTTGTCAGAGCTCAAGAGGTTGAAAGTAATCAGCACTCAATAAATATTTCAGGGCATCCTGAGGAAAAGAGAGGAACCAGAATTAGACTTGAGTGTTATTAAAACTGAAACTCGACCCCAACCCAATGCAGTACTTAAATGGATTGAGGTAAAACAGTCTCTCATTCTCTATGCTAGAGGAAGACAGGAAAAATTTTATTTGGTGGAAGATATTAGGATTTGAAGATTTTGTATTTTTTAATACACAGTTTGCCGCCAATAAGAAACAATTAGAAATGCAATGAGGCAAGACAAGTAGGACCGATAATTAAGAGAAAAGGAAGACAATTGTGGCAGTGCCATAGGCGATTCAGATAATGAAATTTGCAGACAAGGATTTTAAAATAACCGTTTTTGATATGTCAAAGAAAATAAGGGGAAATAGGCCAAAATAGATGAAATGATGGGGGGAAAAAATCTCATCAGAGAATTGGAATCTATAAAAAAGTGAAGTGGACATATAAAACTAAAAAAAATACAATATTTGAAAATAACAACTCAATAGATTTGTTTTATGAGATTGAACACAACCCCATACAGACTTAGTAAATTGGAAGACAGTTTGAAAGAAAAATACCCAAGCATAGGTAGACAAACAATAAAATGGAAAGAACAAAACAGATATACCAAATGAGTAGTGATATGCTAGTACTTCCACAGCTTTAAAATAAATCAAGATAGATTAAAGGTCTCAGCCAGAAAAGTGCTCCAGAACATAGGCTGCAGTGATGTCTTTGTGGCTTTGTCTCCAACAGTAAGGAAAACAAAATCGAACATAAACAACTGGGACTGCATCAAACTAAAAAGCTGCATAGTGAAAGAAACTGTCACCAAAGCAAAAGGACTCTCTAATGAATGGGAGAAATTTTTGCACACCAGGCATCTGACAAGGGACTGATATCTTAGAGCTACAAAGAGCTCATACATCTCAACACAAAGAAAGCAAATGACCCTATTGAAAAATGGACAAAAGAGCTAAATGGGTGGAAGAAGGCATACACATGGCCAACAGGCACATGAAAAAATGCTCCTCATCATTTATGATCAGGGAAATGCAAATCAAAACTAGAATGAGAACCCACCTCATAATTTTGAGGATGGCCCATATCAAAAAGCCCAGAAACAGCAAGAGATGGTGAGGATATGGAGAAAAAGGAATTTTTACACCGTTGTTGGGAATGTAAGCTTTTCCAGCCCCTATAGAAAACAGTCTGGAAGTTTCTTAAAGTATTAAAAAAGGATCTACCATGCGATCCTGAATTCTACTCCTAGGTGTCTACTGGAAGAATACAAAACACTAATTTGAAGGAAATGTGTACTTCTATGTTCATTGAAGCATTATTTATAATAACTAAGCTATGGAAACATCCTAAGTACCAAAATACAGATGAGAGCCTGAGGGAGATGATGGTCTATATGTTACACAATACATACTACCCAGCTATCAAACAAGATAAACTCCTGCTATTTGTAACAGCATGAGTGGAACTAGAGGGGATTATGCTAAGTAAAATAAGTCAAAGGAGCAAGACAAATACTGGATGGTGTCATTTGTATTTGGAATATAGAGAAACAAAGGGTCAGATAAAGCCAAATTACTAGAAATCTGATCATAGATTGTTTTGGCATGTTCTTGGATTGGGAGACCTGATACTATAAATATATATTTTTCTCAAATCTATAATTTCAGCACAATCCCAATCAAAATACTAGGAGATTTTGTTATGGAAATTGAGGTGCTGATTCTAAAATAGAGAATTTTTTTTTTAAATAAATTTTATTTTTATATTCCCCATACAATTGCAACCCCCTTATTTTGACCCCAATCCCTCCCCTACCCGCTCCCCACCCCCCATAGAGTGTCTCTGGTTCATAGTTGTTTGTTGATTTTGATTTTCACTTTCTTATAGTTATTCTTTTTCCTGGTCCCTTATTTAAGTTTTCTAGATTCCTGCTATGAGTGAGACCATCCGGTATTTTTCTTTTTCTTTCTGGCTTATTTTGCCAAGCATGATCCCTTCCAGCGCCATCCATGTTGCTGCAAATTGCATGTGTTTATCTTTTTTGAATGCTGAGTAATATTCCATGGTGTATATGTACCAAGAGCATTAGAATTTTATTTTTTAAAGGTTAACAAAAGGTTTATTTACAAGGAAAGGGGAATGAGGAAATGTACAACTCAGGGAGAAAAAAGGGAGATAAATTTTTTTTTTTAAGATTTATTTTTATTTATTAACACAAGCACTGGGTACAGTCAGAAGCGCGGGAGGTTGAGAGAATTCACCAGAGCCAGAGCGGGGAACAGAGCAGGCTGACAAGTACACTGCTGAGGGGAGCAGCGGGCGGCAGGAGAGGTCTGCGCCATGTGGGACCCTCCTCCGGTGGCCGGGGAGCAGCCAGGGATCGAAGCCTGTGCTGCAGAGGCTGCGGGCAGCTTCGCAACTCAGCGTTCAACCACTGCGCCACCGGGGATGCCGAAGGGAGATAAATTCTTAAATGTATCCTACCCGTTCCGCTGACCTGGAATCCCAAATGACCTGCTGAGACCAAACCTGCCTGGTCAAGAGCACGAGCCAAGCGTGCCCGACCCCACTAACATGGCTGGTTTTTATTTACAAACAGAGAAAATGGCTGCTTAACTCCACCCTTAGGTCCTTGCCACTTCCCTTTGGGAATCCTAGGATTTGTAATTCCCAGTGTCTTGATAGAGTGGGGGTGGCATCCATAAAGCCTGTATGGAATTAGCTTCACTTTTTGCCATCATTTCCATGGTGTTGAAGATCAAATGTATGGATGCTGGGGTACAGTCTCAGATGAAAATTTTTCTCAGGGTTCCCCATTGGAAAACAAACCAGTCTATCCAGGTATTGTTCATTGTGGAAAGCAAAAGTCCTCCATTCCTGGGAAATAGTTTTTCAGTCCAAGCCAAAAAACAAAACAAAACAAAAAAAACAAAACAAACCACACACACACACAAAACCATCTGGAGGCATTAGCCAAAACAAAACAGCAAAGATATCAAATCTCAGGAAAAATATTAAAATTGATTCAACTTTTGCAAAAACAAGTTCTTTCAACCTTGATCCCAAATTGTATCAACAGCGTAGTAAAAGTTTGCAATCCAAATCTACTTTTAAACCATATTACCTATTTTTGCATAAAATCACAGAGCAGAATAACTAAACAGCAATTTTAGCTGCTTTGTTGGAATACACCATAAAGGATCAGAGCGAACTCTTGACATCTGGTCCACGTAGTAAAATAGAGTAGAATTTTAATAAACCAATCTGTTTCTATTTGCAATAGAAATGTAAAGTACCAAGAATAGCGAAGATATCGTTCTTTTTTTTTTTTTAAAGATTTATTTATTTATGCATACAAGAACTGGAGTATAGGCCACAGGTGCGGGGTGGGGTGGGGGGCAGGGACGTGGGTGAGAGGATTCACCAGAGACAGAGTGGGGAATAGAACAGGCAGACTGACTGAAAAACACTGTTGAGGGAAGCAGCGGGTGAGACAGGAGAGGTCTGCTGCGCCATGTGGGTATCTCCCTGGCCGGCTGGGGATTGAACTCATGCTGCAGAGGCTGTGGATAGCTTCACAGTTCTGTGCTTAACCACTTGCGCCACCAGGAAGGCCCAAGATCTTGTTCTTAAGAAGAAGAATCTTTCTGTGTGAATCCCCTTGACTCATGTCTTTATACTTCAGAAGGAGCTACTGAAATTAGAAACAAATAAAATCACAGGCAATAATGATAAACAACTAGAATAGGTAGGTCTTTTCCCTAAAGCCTGACTACAAGAATGTGGCCTTATCATGAACTCAAAGAAGCAACCATTGTTCTCAAAGCCAAAGAATGACTTTCCCCAACATGCCTGTTCTGTCCTCTTTGCACACTATACTCATGGTTCGACTTAAAAGGGGTGGGGGGGATTGCAAGAAACATGATTTACAAAAGGAAATGAAAAAAGCACAGTTTTTGTTTCCAAATATCTCTTTTGTACATTCTATTCCCTGTGCCAGCAATTGCCTACCTCCCTTTTCCCTAGTTAGCCTCCAGTCTTTGTAGAGGAATGATTTTTTTCAGGGAATTCTTCCCAGATCTCTTTAATTATGTTAAATTCTTTTACAATTTGATTATCACTCAATCTCCTTTATCCCACCGTCATATTTATTTGTAGGATTAAGTAAAACATTTTTGCCTTTTTCACGAAACTGGATGCTTCTTAAGAGCAAAGAAAGAAGTTTAGCTTATTGCTACTTAATGTGTCACTAGCACCTTGGAATGAGCCAGGGAGATAGTATATTCTCCAAACTGTATAACTCATCAATAATGAGAATTAGTATATCATGCAATTGGCAATTCCTATCTTATGTTCAACCCTCTTTCTAGGCCAGGGGTAAAGAAGATCAAGGAGGCTAATGTGCTTACTTTATAAGATAGGATGTGGTGAGTTTAGAAGGGTAAATGGCAGGTAGTTCTGTCTTAGGAAGCAGAGGGTATGTGCCTGTATCTTATGACCCAGTATTCTTGCATCAAACTGATGAAACAAGTGTCAACGAACTATTCCTGGAATCACTGAGGCTGCCCTAGAAATAACAATTAATACGGGGCCCAGAAACATTGCCCTCGCTAACTAAACTTTAGTTTCAAGTGCCACCAGGCGGCGCTAAACCATAGCCAGGCTAGGAATAGACAAGGATTCAGCAATAGGACCTCTGAAATTCCTGAAGAGTTAGCCAATTTACAACCCCAGTGATTTTATTAATCCCACAATAATGTGACTGTGCATTTTACATAATCTAATTGTTTTATTGCCACTTAATGCATTATAGTGGGAATTTTCTATACTTGTTGAATTGATGAAATATTGTATGGATGATGCAGTTACTAATGGAAGGACAGGATAGAGTTGGTTGTGAGGTGATGATATTTGTTAAAACTATAATGCCTTGAAGTCTCTCACTTCAAAAATCTATACAGAAGTCTGCCCAGTTTATTCTGTGGAGATATCTTGATTCCAAGCATTAGATAAATTCAAATATTTGTTTATGTCTGTAAAATACAATGCAGTAAGTTTGTTTTTTTTTTTTTTTTTGGTGGATACCAAGAATAGCGAAGATATTGTTCTTTTTTTTTTAAGATTTATTTATGCATACAAGAACTGGAGTACAGGTCACAGGTGTGGGAGGGTAAGAGGATTCACCAGAGACAGAGTGGGGAATAGAACAGGGATAGTTCATAATATCGACATTTATCCCATGATAGATGACTTTCAAATAAAATCAATAGCCTATGAATAATAAAATAATCTAGTAATAAAACAATAATCTAAAAATGGTAATAAAATAGCAGCTAACATTATTTGTTAGACTGATAATCTGATAGACACTGTAATGGTTATCTTTACATACATTAATTTATTGGTCCCTTATCACAACGTGTGAAGTAGGAATTATGTTCCATTTTTATAACGACAACAGTTGGGGCACAAAGATGTTAGTGAAATTAGGGCCTCCCCTGGTGGTGCAGGTGGTTGAGAGCAGTGCTGTGAAGCTGTCTGCAGCCTCTGCAGCGCCGGTTCCATCCAGGCCAGCCGGCGAGGGTCCCACATGGCGCGGCAGACCTCTCCCTTTAAGCACAACACTGTGAAGCTATCTGCAGCCACTGCAGCACAAGTTTGATCCCAGGCCAGCCAGGGAGCTACCCACATGGCATAGGCGACCTCTCCTGTCTCGCCTGCTGCTTCCCTCAGCAGTGTATTTCAGTCAGTCTGCCAGTTCTGTTCTCTACACTGTTACACCCCCTGCACCTCTGGCCTGTACCTTGTATGCATAAATAAATAAATCTTTAAAAAAAAAATGTTGGGGCCTCCCCTGGTGGCGCAGCTGTTGAGCGCTGGGCTGCCAAGCTGCCTGCAGCCTCTGCAGCGCTGGTTTGATCCCCGGCTGCTGGCGAGGGTCCCACATGGCGCAACAGACCTCTCCTGCCACACCCGCTGCTCCCCTCAGCAGTGTATTTCGTCACTCTGCCTGTTCTGCTCCCTGCTCTGGCTGTGGTGAATTCTCTCACCCTCCCATGCTTCTGACTGTACCCAGCGCTTGTATAAATAAATAAAAATAAATAAATCTTAAAAAAAAAGTTAGTGAAATTGAGCAAACCTTTTATCATTTAGAAGTTCAAATGCAAAAGTTCCATTTTGTATTTGCCTTGAGTCAGATATCAAGGGAAGGTACATTACAGAGACCTGCTAAAATGTTGAGAACAAGAAGAAGTGTACTATCCCATAGTTTTTTTGAAAATTTATTTTTTAAATTTTATTTTATATATATTTTACATCCTTCTTCCTTGCTCTCTCTTTTCAGGGGTAGTCCCTGCAAAATTCCCATCACCAATTCCCCCCCTGCACCATCACCATAGCCCTTTGTGTAAGAAAACATTCCCTCCCCTGTTTTGACTATCCCATAGTTTTAAGTGTAATTTAAAAGAGCGTAATCTTAAAAAAAAATTATAATACAATCTTAGTAAGAACCATATACACAGATATATAAAATCTACCAAAAAATAGGGTTCTTAACTTGTGTTCCTTGGAAGGTTTATCCTAAGTCAAGGATTAGGTAGACTTCATTTATTTAAGAATTAATTTCAGGGAGTATGGTTAACTTATGGAGGAGTCAAAAAGAGAGGGAGAAGCAGCTGGCCAAGGATATATTTGTTGTTGGTTGGTTACTGTTGATCTTTTTTTTTTTAAATCAATTTTTAAAAAAAAAGATTTATTTATTTATACAAGCACTGGGTACAGTCAGAAGCACGGGAGGGTGAAAGAATTCACCAGAGCCAGAGCGGGGAGCAGAGCAGGCAGAAGGACCGAAGTACACTGCTGAGGGGCAGCGGGCGGTGCCATGTGGGACCCTTGCCCGGCGGTCAGGGATCAGGGATCAGGGATGAACCAGCGCTGCAGAGGCTGTGGGCAGCTTAGCAACCCAGCGCTCAACCGCTGTGCCACCGGGGAGGCCCTGGTTACTGTTGATCGTCTGCAGAGCTTGAAGTCAATACCTTCTGCAGCACTTGATCAATTCCTTCTACCTTCAGAACAAGTTCCAGAACAGGAAGACAGAGGTACTTGGTATATGCCAATAGGAAGCAAGTCACTGTCAGGTTATACCTGTGAGAAATTTGGACTAAACTTGCAGCAGAGACTGGAATAGAAGCTTGGACTGAAAAGATCTGAAATGGCACATGAAAGTCCTAATACTGTGGTGCTCTTTCTTTAGGAATGAATGATATTGTGGTAATAATAATGATTTATAAATATATTTTTATTGAAATATTAAAATTGTGAACCAATTTGTACCAATTAAAATTATCTTTTAAGCCATCTATTTTTCCTCATTGTGTTGCTATAGAAACATAGCTCACTTTTTTTTTTAATTTGAATTCCAACTTTTATGGCTTATTACTGATTTTTTATTAATAGCTCATATCCAGATATTATTTAGTCTTTCAATCTTACAAATATAAATATCAGATTAAATTTTTAAGGGAGGTGGCATCCACTTAATTGTATTTATAAGTCTATATGTTTAAAGAGTCTTCATTAACAGATTCATGAAGGCAGGCTAAAATCTGAACAAACAATTCTTTTTAAAATTATTTTTAAAGATTTATTTACTTATACAAGAACCAAGGTACAGGCCAGATGTGCGGGGGGGTGAGAGGACTCACCAGAGACAGAGCAGGTAACAGAATAGGCAGACTGACTGAAATACACTGCTAAGGGGAGCAGCGGTGAGACAGGAGAGGTCTGCCAAGCCATGTGGATATCTCACTGGCTGGTTGGGATCAAACTGGAGCTGTAGAGGCTGCAAAGAGCTTCACAGAGCAGTGCTCAACCACCTGCACCACCAGGGGAGGTTCCTAATTCTTTAGTATTAAAGAGTAGCATAGATATTATCAATTCCAAATTGTCAATCAAGTTGTTAATTGAACTAGAGATATCCAGGTATAATGGAAAGAAAATGGGCCTTAGGTCAAGAAAATTGTGTTTTACCATTTCAGAGCTGTATGATCCTCACCAAACAGTTTACAGCTTCTCTGGATCTCAGTTTTCTTCATCTGGGGTATAACTTCCTATCCAACAGGGTTCTGTGAAGATTTAAATCAGACTATGTATGATAAAGCACACAGCATAGTGCTTGTAATATAATATAATATTAAATATAATATAATACATAGTAATATAATATAAATACAGTAATAGTAATATAAAGATTGAATATAGTAATATAATATGAATACAATAATACAATAGTAATATTATATAAATACAGTAATATAATAGTAATATAATACAAATACAGATTGAATTTAAGTCTGACATCAGCTCTGAGCCACCCTTGATTGTGTATGTTATCGGACCAGAGGCCAAGTTTTTGAAATTTCTGGTTCTTTTAATGAATTGTTTCTTCTTATCTTTTGATTTCCAGTCTAGATGTTACTGCTTTAGAAAAATCTGTGATGGTTCTAACCAAGTAGGACATTTTTACCCCACTTGAGATATAAGTTGATGAATATATTTAACCTCTTCCTAGAAAGACAAGAACCTCAAAATAATCCTAAAGGAAGTGTTTTTTTGGTGGCAAGCAACGGAAGTTGATGGTGGTTATTTAAAACAGAAAAGTCAAGGGTGTTGGGTAGTTTGTAGAAAAGATGGGAAGTTTAAAGGATCAGAAAACAAACAGCATCCGAAGGAGGCCAGGTCACCACAAAGACAGCAGGGAAGCAGTATAGTGAGGACTCACTGAACAGTTCCTGCCGCCACCACCACTGCTGACAGCAGGTACTAGATGCCAACCTAACACCGAAGCCACAACTACCTCTGGTGAGTGGATAGTGAAATGAGCTCTTCTGCATGTGTTCCTTATTCTTCACCTGGTCATTTCATAATTCCTTATCCCTGAATTTTTGAGACACCTGCTCAAGGCATAATAATTCCAGAGGTGAGCGCCTTAATTTGCTAGGTCTTAAGTTTTGTGACAGCACTTTGGTTGCTAAGAGATGGGGAAGCATTTTTGGCTTTTGCTTCCCACTGAGAGTTGAACTCTGGGAAACTCTGGAAGAAGCTATTAATGCTTAGCAATCAAATATATTCTTAGGAGTCTGCCACTTTGGATGTCAAACATCCACCAATACTTTATCCTCTCATTTATACTTAAATACATAATGTGTGTATCTTTATTACAACTGAAAAGGCACTCAATTCTTCTACATTAGGAGCAAACCAAAGTATTATTATTTACAGTTTATGCATTTAAATCCAATGATGATAATATAATCTTCTACTTGGGCTGTTCCTCTGTCTTGATATTCTTCAGCCGGTGGACTAACTAAAGGTTACCTGCCACCCATCACACCCTACATAAAATAATGGGGTAAAGGAAGAGGAAAGAAATAGTTACGTGAAAGGGCAAATATGTCAATAACACAGCAATAAATGGGGTAGAGATAGAGCCTACAGATCTTATTCGAAAATAAGGACATAGATATTTCAATGTTACATCTGTAATAGATAACATTTGTTTTAGCACACTCTTAGAAAGTACCGGAGTTTCAGACTAGGCCTTGAGCCCAGACTTTAGGGATTTACGTATGTTTTTTCTTTCTTATCCCTGGACTTGATTTGCTAATATTATTTGCATCTCTAGACGGTGAAAATTGGCCTGTTATTTTCCTTTCTTCCATTATCTTTGAGAATACCTAGTATTCAATATAATAATAGCATTATAAAATGAGTTAAGGAGTGTTTCTCTTTTTTTTTTAAATTTTCTCAAATAGTTTGCAAATAATTAGAATCATTTCTTCCCTGAACATTTGGTAACTTGCTGATAAAATTGTCTGGATCTAGAGTTTTATTTGTTGGAAGATTTTAAAGTGTTACTCCTGTTATCTTAATTATATGGGCTATTCAAATTTTCTGTTTATTGTGAGTGAATGTTGGGAAATTGCCTTTTTCTAGGAATTTGTCCATTTCTTCCAAGTTTTCACATATTGAAAACTTCTCAAGAGTGAAAAATTTTCATTATCTCCCTAAATTTTTAAATATCTGTTGCAGGCAGGAAGCAGACAGGCAGGCAGGAGGAAAGGAATATTCTGATATTGTTTGAAATAGCTCCATTTTTAATGTTGATCAATCTTACCAGGGTTTGGTTAATTTAATCAAACTTTTCAAGGTACCAACTTTTGGTCTTCTGTCTTATAAATTTTGTTTATTTTGCCCTTAATTATTTTCTTCCATTTACTTTTTTAAAAAAGATTTATTTGTTTATACACACAAGAGCTGGGGTACAGGCCAGAGCTGCAGGGAGTGTATGGATTCACTAGAGACAGAGCCGGGAACAGAACAGGCAGACTGACTGAAATACACTGCTGAGGGGAGCAGTGGGCAAGTCATGAGAGGTCTGCTGTGCCATGTGGGTTGCTCCTTGGCCGGCTGGGAATCAAACCTGTGCTGTAGAGGCTGCGAATTGCTTCATAGTGCAGTGCTTAACCCCTTGTGCCACCAGGGAGGCCCCATTTACTTTTTTAAACTTATTTTATTTTCTTTGTCAAACTTCTTAAATTGTTTCTTAATTTATTTGTGTTTAGTCTTCTTTTCTAATATAAACATTGAGGGCTTTAAGTTTCCCTCCAAGATATATTTCCATTGTATTGTACTGGTTGTGATACAAAATATCTTTATTTTCTTCTAAATATTTTTCAGTTTCCTTTATGATTTCTTTTTTGATTTTGAATTATTCAGGGGCATTTTTCTTAATATTCAAATGTGTATGTATTTATATTGTTAATGATAATAGTTTTAAAATGTTATGGTCAGGGAATGTGTTCTTACTGATTTCAGTCCTGTGGAATTTCTTGACACATATTTCATTTACTGCTTCATCTATTCAAAATGTTTATTTAGCATCTATTTAGCACTGTTATAATCACTCAGAATTCAACAATGAATAACAGATAAAAATCTCTTTTCTCGCTGGTTTTATTGGGTGAAGCAGACAATAAACAAATACAATTGTAAAGTAAAATATAGAGGATATTAGTGATGGAACACTAAAGAAAAAATACAGTAGGGAAAGGGATTTTTTTTAACTTATATTTTATTGAGGTAATATCAGTCTACAGCACTCTATATAGGTTTTAGGTATACATTTTCTCACCTCATCAACTGTATATCTCACACCATGCTCACCACCAAATGTGGCCAGTCATCATCCACCACCAACCAATTGGTGTTCAGCACATATCCCCTATCTGTCTTCTCCGGTGACCACAATTCTGTTGTTTAAGTCTAAGGTTTTGTTTTCTCTGTTCTTCAATTGCTCTTTTCTTTTTGGTCCACAAGTGAGTGTGATCATATAGCACTCTTTCTCCTTTGAGTAAGGTGGGAAACCACTGGAAGGATTGGACAGAAGAGAGGTCTTGTGTTCTCTCTGGATGCTGTGCTGAGACTAGACTGCAGAAGGGTTCCTTCTTTCATCTAATTTTGGGCTTAACTTTCCATATTTTACTGAGAGTTCATCAATTTATTTAAGATTAAAAATATATAATTTCAGAGTTTTTTGGTAATCCAAGGTTTTGAGCTTGTTCTGTTGGCAGAAATGAAAGCCTGAATTGCACTTTAAATCAATCTTCTATGGAAAACTCATCAGAACTTGAAAAAAAAATGAGATAACTGATTGCCAATTCCCCAATTTATAAAATCAAATAGCAGAGTTCGTAATGGATTATTTTAGATTGTTGAATACTTGTAAAGAGCCTTTGAAGAATATTTGACAATTATCTTCTTTATAAGAGAGAGAATGCAAAAAATTTTCAAGTAACAAAATATTTCTGAGATTACTACCCTTTTCAAGTCCTAAAAAATATAATGGTGCCATTTAAATATTTCCATTAGAATGAATTCAACAGTTCTTTATTATTTTTTAAAAGATTTATTTATTTATGCATGTAAGAGCTGGGGTACAGGCCAGAGATGCTGGGGGGGTGAGAGGATTCACCAGAGACAGAGTGGGGAACAGAACAGGCAGATTGACTGAAATACACTGCTGAGGGGAACAGCGGGTGAGACAGGAGAGGTCTGCTGTGCCATGTCGGTTGCTTCTTGGTGGGCTGGGGAATGAACTTGTGCTGCAGAGGCTGCAGATTGCTTCATAGTGCGGTGTTTAACCCTTTGCGCCACCAGGGAGGTCCCAACAGTACTTTATCACAACGGGCCCTGCTCAGAGAGTAACTTTGCCTAAAAGCAAATGCGTTTGTAATGAAAGGATTTTGTGGAAAAGAGTCAACATTTCCCAGACCGATGAAGATGTTTTTGAAATGTTGCTTCATCAGTATTCCTGATGGTGAGAAGGGATTAGACTGTGGAGGGGGATAGAGATGTTCACCTTTGAGTAAATCCTGTCTAACAAAAGCTACCAGAAGAATGGACAGAAACAAATATAAGAAATACTAAACTGACAATATTGCTAGGTTATAAATTGATCCAAAGTTTGAGAAGGATGCTTTCGATTGATCAATGGTCTGTTTTTGTCTTAAAATATAATAAACACTTATTGGTTTGCTTTTTCCTTTATAATTCTTCTGAGTGTCACTCCCAACTTTTTTTTAATATATCAAATCCAGATTTCTACCTTTATTTAATTTTTAAATTAATTTGATCCACTCCTTTATTGTTATCTTAAAGCCTTTATTACCTCTTGACAAAGGAGAATGGAAAGAATTCCTCTCAAATTTTGCTTTTAAAAGGATCAAGCTCTACTTGATATTATATATGGTTCTAAGCAGCTGGGTTAAATTAGTTACAGAATGAGTTATTGACTCAAAGGAGAAAAAAAAAGGTATCTTCTATCTTTAAGAATCATGTTCATTCAAAACAGCTCATAGACAAATATTCTTAAAAACTTAAATGCAAGTAATCTTTAATTATATATATGAATGAAAAGGGATGGATGGTATTAAAATTTTTAAATAGGTAATTAAAAATAATTTCTGATTAGCTTTACAAAGCCTTATAATCCCACCATCATTTTTTCTTCTTAATTACATTTCTCTTAAACTAATCATAAAATTAAATTTCTATTCTCAAATGCAGAGTAACTAATTGAGTAAGAGATGAGTAAGCAACTAATTGAGTAAGTAATTGAGTAACTAATTGAGTAAGCATTTTGATGGGTGGAGAAGTGGTCTAGCATTAAAATTTGAATTTGGATACTCCATATTATAGAAGTTGACTATGTTCATATCATCAATATTTTTGAGCCATGATTATTATTACACTATAGCAGAGTCTTTTGTTAGGATTCCTTGTCCTAATTATTCCCCTCTCCATCTCTTCTTAGTGAAATAGACCAACTATAGCTCCCCTGGTTGTGGGGTAGGGCCAGTCTCACCCAAATTTACAGCTATTCCTGTGGGGATGAGGGTGGGGTGGTGGTGTGTGGGTCTGCTAATCTTAAGCGGCCTATTCTGCCACCATTTTGTTACCTAAATTCTAAATCCTAAACAAGGTCAGAATAGCCCGGTCAGTTAGGTACAGGAGCCCAACCCTGCAAGGTGCCTTTCAAATCAATCAAGAGCACAAAGCTGGATCATGTTGGGAAAGCTATGCATCAGGAGGTAAGACAGGGAATGCTGGAGGGGGGGGTGTGTGTGTGGCCAAGGATCAATGTATAACTAGGTACCCCAGAAGCTGATCAGTGGAAAGCCTTGTTGATAAGATTGAAACCATGGCTGGGGAACTAGGGCTTGATCTCAATTACAATACCAAGTCATCAAGCAGATGAGAAGTGCCTGGAGGGCAGACTCACAATCCTAGATTTTCTAGTTACATTCTTTCCTTTTCCTTTTTACCTTGCTCCCCTTTCTTTTTTCTCCTTCCCCTTACAGCCGATGCTGTATAATTCTTCTATCAATAGAAAGGACAGAATCTTGCTCTTCAGCAGCATCCTGCATTATGTAGCCTGCTCCACGACTCCCATTTCTTTATCAGTGTGGTGTTGCCCAATGCAGCAGTGTTGGTAGAGGTAGGATGCAGATGGGGTAAATATTGGCGAAGCCACTCACTGCAATGTTCCCTCAGATTTAAGACACTTAACACAAACTGATTTTCATGTGTATGAAGTCAAAAACTTTGTGGTGTCTTAGAAAAAAACTACAGGATGAATAGCAGAAGACCTTGTTTCCAGCTCTTCCTGTTAGTATTTCCAATACCTGAGGTAGCCCTTGATCTTTTTGAAACTCCTCTCGTACTATGTGAAGAGTGGGTAATCACACTTGCCTTACCTACCCCTTGGGGTTGCTGTGAAGATCAGTCAGATAAAATACGTGAATGCACTTTGAAATTTATAAAGTATTATACAAACGTAAGATGTTGTCTGTTGCTTTAGCACTCAGAATACTTAAGCGACTTAAAGAAATCCCACTGTGGTCATAAAGCAGATTAAAATAAGAGAGCTGGTGAAACTCAGTATTTCTAATAAAAAAGTTACTCAGAATATGGGGTAGTGGTATTAACTCTGTGACTTAAATTTTTTTTTTTTTTTTTCTGTGAGAATGTCCTTTTGGAAGCCTCTGTGTATAGCACGTGGAGTTTCCAATATCTCCAGGCTGCTTCCTTTGAGTTCACCATCTACCATCTGCCCCCATGCTTCTGGGCAGCCAGATTGCCTTCGGAAATGTGATCATCCTCATTCGCCCGGCAGAAGTTACACTTTTTTTCTACTTAAAGGGCTTGCTCCATGAAACTGTGAGCACTGCGAACTCTTAATATGTCCCCAGCTCCTGTTGAGTAAGGCAGAGGTAAACTATGGTGACTATATCTTCATTTCATTCTTTTCTTGCTGTTAGAGACCTGGTAAAGGATTCTAGTAATTCAAAGTCGTTAGCAAAGTTGAGGCAACTCTAACTTATAATCAAACTATTTCTTTTTAGGGCATTTTTGTAAAGGTGATTGTCATTTCTTAATGTTTTATTTTACTTAAAATTATAATATATAAAAGTGCATCGTTTTGCCATTGTTTTCATTTTCACAAATATCTTCCAATGTTTGTCTAAATGAATAGATGTTTTACATATTTACCTTTTTCATAGTGCACACTATTTTGGTTTTGAATTCTCTGGGAGGATTGTATCTGCCAGATGGGGCCTTAGAATTCTGAATGGAGCCAAGAATCCTAATCTAGGTGACAATTGGGATTGACAGGAATGGCTTGCATTCTTTGGCAAGTGTGTCCTCAATTAGAAAACTCGGGTTGGATGGAGGGTGAAGTAGAAAGTGACTATGGGCTCTCAGACAAACTAGCGATCTCAATGGGAAAAAAATATTAGTTTTTTTTTTTAATAAGACAAGATGTAGGTAGGTATTTTAAGTAAGATAATTTCAGATGCTAGGAAGCTCTCTCTTCTCACACACCCAAAACAAACAAAAAACATAAAACTCAACAAAAGTTAACAACCATCCCAATAAAGGCACCTCATCATTAGTTAATAAATTTTTAATATTAGTTTAAGAAAGTTATCATAACGTGTAAAAGTGAAAATTTTAAATATTTTAAGTTGACACGAGTTTCACAAAACAAGATGGGAGTTTTTGTTGTTGATTTTTATTGGAATGGGACATGTGTCGTATGGTAGAGACCCTATGCTCTTTTCAAGGATGAAAGATCATAAACTTTAAACTTCAAAATTAAACTGGCAAACCCCACGAGCTCCCCTACCACCGGCAATAGTTCCTATGCACAGCTGCCTCCATCAGCATCAACACCCTAAGCATATGCAGAGATGATGGGTAAGGTATATCATTTCTTACCAAGCACTTGCTCACCCAGCCCTTTCTTTTAGCAAAAAGAAACCACAAGGCAAAGGAAACTCCAATGTAAAAAGCCAGACTCTACTCGCTAGTTTTTGCAGATAACCACTGACTTCCGCAGAGCCCCCCTGACTTCTTCCTTTCCTCCCTTGGAAAGTATTTTCAATAAACTTTGCTTTACTTCAAGCCTGTCAGTCTCTGTGGATTCTTTCACAACTCGCGCGGAGCTAAGCCAGACCCCTGCCCACCACATCAAAAACCTAACCAGAGGGGCCTCCCTGGTGGCACAAGGGGTTAAGAGGCAACCTATAAAACTACCCGCAGCCACTGCAGCCAAGTTCAATCCCCGGCCGGCCAGGGAGCTACCCACATGGCACAGCAGACCTCTCCAGACTCACCCGCTGCTCCCCTCAGCAGTGTATTTCAGTCAGTCTGCCTGTTCTGCTCCCCACTCTGTCTCTGGTGAATCCTCTCACCCCCACACCTCTGGCCTGTACCCCAATTCTTGTATAAACAAATAAAGGTAACCAGGAACACACACACACACTCACGAACAATCCCCCCGCGCCACCCCCGCACCCTGTAGAATAGAACACACCCCACTGATTGTTAATTTTGCCAGTCAGATTCTTTTAGGTTATTTAGGTTACCGAAGACAAGATTACGACTAAGTGAAATGACCAAATAGAAAACATCTGAAAACTACAACCGAAAAGAATCTTGCAGGTTCGGCGACGGCGCATCAGGATTGACACCATCGGATGCGGGAGCGCTTTGGGGTGGAGGAGGAGCCGGACCCGGGGACTTGGTTCGGCCTCTCGCGCGCGCGGACCCGGCGGGGCAGCGGGGGCGCCGCGCGCAGGTGCCGGGGCGCGCCGGGGCGCGGGGCTCCTCGGCGGGTGGGCCGCCAGGCGTCGCGCTGGAGCCGCGGTTGCCCGGGAGACGGAGCTGGGCGAGTGGGCGGCGCGGAGCCGAGCGGAGCTGGGGTGCCGCGGGAGTAGCCGGGCAAGAGTTGGGGGGAGTGGCTCCCCGGGCGGCGCAGGGGGCCGGCGGGTCCTGGGGCCGCGCGAGGTGGCCGGGCGCTGCGGGGCGCGACGGGCGAGCCCGGGACGCTCCTGCTCGCAGCTCAGCCGCCGCGGAGCCGGGGGCTCGGGAGCGGCGCCCGCCTGGTCGGCGCGTCCGGCAGTGGCAGCCCGGCAGAGCGGACCGCGGCCGGGCGGCGGGTCGGGGAGGACCCGGTTCCCCCGGGAGCGCCGACAGCCCGGCCCGCGCCTCCGCTGCCGCGACCCGGAGTTGGGCGGGCGGCGGGCGCGCTCCCTGCGGCCCGGGATGACTTCTCCGGGCTCCCCTCTGGCGCCTCTGCTGCTGCTCTCTCTGCACGGTGAGTAGCCCGAGCCCTTCGGTTCGCTGGGGGCCAGGTTGGGCCGGCGAGCCGGGGGAGAGCTGGCGAGGGACTGCAGACAACCTTGTTTTTTCCCGTGGCACGTCTTGGGAGCCTAAGTTTCTCGGGCCTGGTGGCTGTCGGCGGAGCTCGCGCGCCCACCCGCCGCGGATGCCCCCCCACCCCCCACCTCCCCGGCTCGCCCCCGGCGCAGCTCAGGTGTTCCCTGGTCTGAGAGGTACCTGCGGGCGCCCGGTGACTGCCCATCCAGTATCCGGCTCTGACCCTGCTGTGTGCTCAGGTTTGCACGAGGATCTGCCTTAAGGGGTCCGGTTGAAGGCAGTGTTGAGGATCAGTTTCCGATCCGAGGCAGCTCCAGGAAAGCTGAAGATCCTTTGAAAATGATTGGGAAAACTTTAAGTTGTTAGCTTTGTTATAAGCTTCAAGAAGTATAAGAAGGCACTGACTGAAAATAGGATCTTTAATTATACAGTGTGCTTACACGATATTCGAAAACAAGATTTTTGGTCCACTCTGGCATCTTCCCCAAGGGATTTAAATTGGCTTACAAAATACATACGGTATACTGATATTAGAACAAAAGAAAGAAACATGTGTAAGTTTCTTGTTAACGGTTTAAGATTTAAATTTCTAATTATATTAATCGTACATTTTATTTTCTTTGAGTAGCCATCATATAAATAAGCTGCTTGTTATATTTTACGATGCCCTTTTTGAGAGTGTACTATTCTGTGGAATTAAGTTTTTTGTCTAAGTTAACTGATTGTTGAGATTTAGTGAGATTTATACTCTATAGGCTATTTATAAAGCAGGTTCGATGAGTTAGAGAATATTGTGGTTAACTCCCTTTCTTTTTAGGGATATCAGTTCGTTTCCCATAGTTTTATAGTCTCATTTGAACTGATAGTGGACCCATGTGTCATGAATAACTTAATTTTAGGCTGCTCCAATTGTAGTAGGGGAAAAAGGAATATAAAACTTTTTTTATACCTTTTCCATAGAAATCAGTGAAGAAAATCATCAAAATTGCAGTATGTTTTTAGTGATAAATTGTAGGTAATAATTAAATGATGTCAATATGTACATCATATGAAGTCTTGCTTCCAGATTTTGTTCCCTTACCATTTGAAGAAGACCAACATTTTTCTCTGTGCGACCTTCCAGTGTGAAATGGGCTAAGTAAACGGATATTTTATATAATACCCTGGACATAACTGAAAGTATTATAAATATTACTATAGGAGCAGCTGAAATTTTTGTTTAAAAAATATCAACTTTCGTATTACAATAAATGCCCTTCTATTCTTGTAAAATAACATTTGTATATAATCTGTTTTTGAATTATTAGGCAACACTTTTAGAGAGTTGATGTACTTTGCAGAATCAGCCTTACAAGGCCATCTGATTTGTTTCTTTTCCCTTGGCATAACTATTCCTAAGCTATACTAGGGTGTTTTTAAAGACTTCCAAGGAAATTTTAGCCTTGTAATTATCTGTTCTTTAGAGGCACTTTCATCCTCAAAAAACTGTTCATTTGTTTAACAAATACCCAGCTACCTTTGGGTGTCTGGTGGGGAGGAATGGTGGTAGAATATAAAGTTTGTCCACAGCCCTTAAAGCGTGTGCAGCTTTAGAACAGTCTGTAAGCGTGTACAGAGGAGTTATGATACAAGGGATATATGATGATTGCTGTTTATTTTATTTATTTATTTTAAGCTTTATTTATTGATGCATTCAAGAGCTGGGGTACACACCAGAGGTGTGTGTGTGTGTTTTGGGGGCGGGTGGTGGTGAGAGTATTCACCAGAGACAGAGCGGGAAACGGAACAGGCAGATTGACCGAAGTACACTGCTGAGGGGAGCAGCCCGCTAGTCAGGAGAGGTCTGCTGCGCCATGTGGGTTGCTCCCTGACTAGCAGGGACCGAATTCATGCTCCAGAGGCTGTGGACAGCCTCATAGGTTACATCTTAACCCCTTGCTTGTGCCACCAGGGAGGTCCCCGATGATTGCTGTTTATTAATGCTCATATCAGGGAAGACTTCTTTGGAAAGTCTTCTTTCCAAAGTTTACTTTCGATCTGAACTTTGGATGAGTAAGATTTGAATTGGCTAAGGTGGGAGTGGTAGAACGTTCCTAACCAAAGGAATAGCCTGGATAAAGAATATGAAGTAGAATATGCAGGGGCTTCTAGCTGCTAGAGCAGGAGATGTATACAAAGGAAAAAGGGCTAAAAAGGTAATAAAAGGACAATAGAGGGTCTTGAATGCTGAGTTGGGCTTTATTCAGTATGCCATGGAAAAGCCATTGACACTTAGTTTCCTTAAGATGGGGAGCAGGAGGGAATGAATAGCTATTGAGTACCTTCTTGTGTTTAGCGTAACAGTTCCCAGGAGAATACCATTGCCTGGCTACATTAAATTCTTAAAGCAGTCCATGGTAATGTTATTTTGAACCAAATAGGGCCCATCCCTAGGCTTCCCATGTGAAATGAGGGAAAGGGATGGATATCTGAGCAAAGTTGGTTCCATTATGAAATGGGAACAGGAAAGTGGATGCTGGATAAATAACCATGATAGTGCTTGTCACTCAAATGGAATAATGCACCAAAGATAGAAACAAGGAGTCTCTTAAACTTTTGGAAGAAAATGGGTGTCAAGAAATTTGTGTTTTACTTTTGTGTAAGTGGAGTAGCTTCAAAGGGAATTTGAATTGAAAGGTTGACTTCTGTATAGTACTACCAGTGTTTTAGCTCTGTCTAAAGTGTTTCTTGTACTTCTTGTGGTACCTTGAAATAGTGAATAGCTTTCTAGAATCTGAGAAAACATATAAAAAGAAAAGACCACAGAAAATAAAGTGAAAGTAATTATGAGCCTACATGTTAGCATTATGAAAAGTTTATTGTAAAATTCACTTTCTTAACTTAGGTAACTGTTTTGGATGGATTCATGGTCAGTAAAAAAGAAAAAGTCTGTAGTTTGACCTCTGTGAAAGGTGACAGTCACAGGATAAAACTGTTAGAGAAATCACACTTAATACATTCTATATTCAACATGGACTAGACAGCAAGCAATTTAAATATGAAATCGACAAGTGCTTCTAAAATGTTATGCCTAGAACTGTTTTCAGACCCAAGGTAATGATGCAGTGGGTAAAATTCCCCCATCCCACCAGAAACAGTCTGTGGCACATTTTCAAATGTGTTTTTACACTTTGATGGTGGCAGCTTTTATAATGAAAAGTCTCATTTGAATCTTCATACTTAAGCCATGTGATTTAGTGTCAAACAAGGTGATGTGCTGGTGCACAAGATTATTTACTTGTAGTGAGTTATCCAGAGCAAGGAACTGGAAGTACTAGCTGAATGGGGAGAAAGTTGGAAAAATTGACACATCCCTACTAAAATCCTCATCAATAACTCGTTAATTTAGACCAGGATTCTGAATCTATTGGTATCTATCTGTTGATACCCAGTTACTTCCTGATTTAATCTGTGTAAGGCTGGATGTTTGAGGTACTCACTTGAGGTTCTCTAAGATTTGAAATTGAAGTTTGAGGTTTGAGGTATTCACTTTGTGTAAACAGTCCCTTCAGCTTCCCTTTGCAAGGTTGTGGTTTGCACTTTAAAACAGTCCCTTCAACTTCCTCTTTGCAAGGTTGTGGTTTGCACTGTAATGTCACCGTTGCATTTTGAGACCATCTAGAGGCTGGGAAATTCTCTCTTATATGAAATTGTTCATATAAAATCTCAGAGAGGTTGTCAGTTTTGAGGTATTATTCAAAATGGCATCTGATTTGAGCTGAGTTTGTTTTTAAAAGTGGAATGTTTATTGGTTTACTTACTAGTTAAGCTATTCTTGTTAAACTATGAAAAGGTTTTTGCTATTGATTAAGGTTTGGGTAATTGATTACCTCTCTGCCCTGTTTCTACTATCTAAGAGACTATAACATTAATTTGCATTTGTGATAGTTTTTTTTATTTAATTTTTTAAAAATATCATGCATGGTTTTATTTTTTATTATTTTTTTGCATAGAACTGGGGTGTAGGCCAGAGGTGTAGGGGGTGAGAGGGTTCACCAAAAACAGATTGGGGAACACAATAGGCAGATCTACTGAATACACTATTAAGAGTAACAGCAGGTGAGACAGAAAAGGTCTGCTGGGTTGTATGTGGGTTAGGGCTGTGACTGAACTCAGGACAGTGGTCATAGCGCTGAGGCCTGAATTTGTAATAGTTTTAAAATTATAGAAATGTGAAGTCAGCCAAAGAGAGAAAATTTGTTTCCTAACTTTACAAATGATAGACAGCATTGATCTGATACTAGTTTATCATTATCATTTTCAGGTGCCATATAGGGTGCTAAGTGGTGTGACTCTATCTCACTCTGTATTATAGAAAGATTATCTTTTAATAAATATTCCTAACATTTTTGTCTATTGGATAGGAGTAAACCAATACAAATTTGCCAAGGTGAACAAAAAAATCTATTCAATAAAAAATTTCATAGAAGTCTACTTACTATTTTCTCTTTGCATTTTGATGTTGTAAATGGTACTAAACTATAGGGTTAGCGGCACACTTTGGCATCAAAAAACATTGCAGGTAGAAAAAAATTAAACTTTAAAACTTTTTTTTTTTTTTTTTAAAAGATTTATTTATTTATTTATACAAGCATTGGGTACAGTCAGAAGCGCGGGAGGGTGAGAGGATTCTCCAGAGCCAGAGCGGGGAGCAGAGCAGGCAGAAGGACCGAAGTACACTGCTGAGGGGAGCAGCGGGCGGCAGGAGAGGTCTGCGCACCTTGTGGGACCCTCCTCTGGTGGCCGGGGAGCAGCTGGGAATCGAACCGGCGCTGCAGAGGCTGCGGGCAGCTTCGCAACCCAGCGCTCAACCGCTGCGCCACCGGGGAGGCCCTAAACTTTAAAACTTTAATAAAAGAAGAAAAGCATAGCAGGTAAAGAAGTGGAGTTCCTAGAAACACAGAGGTAAGGAAATACTTGTATCACAGAGTTTTCCAGAAAAATCTTCAGAGAATTAGGTTAACATTAGCTATATATGACAGTGCTGCAAGATTTATGGTTGGGATAGATGATTAAACTATAATACTGGTTTCTAGGATTGGAAATTCAGTACTTTTTTTTTTTTTTTCTCTCACTAAGGATCACAATTATGTAATAACACAGTATATTGTGCCTATAACTAAAGTAATGGGGTCACTTTTTAGGCCAATTTTAAAATACTCATTAATCCACTATTTTAAAAAAATTAAAAAGAAATTTATTTACCAGTGTTTGTTGAAGTTCACACAAGTAGAAATGTAATAAATGTTCTACTGTAGAAATCCCCGTAACTGCTTTTGCCTGAGATCTCA